CCTTCCAACCCAAACCATTGTGATTATATGATCTGAAAGCCCAGCTCAATTGAACCTTTCAAGTGGACAGCAAGAGGCAGCCTTGCTCCAAAAATCTTACAAATACCTCCTTTATTCAAGGCAGAAAAGAAGTCTGCTGAACTACAGATTGATCGAATTCAGAAAGAACTGCAGACGAGTCATGAGCAAAACATTCTCTTAACTAGCAAACTTCACAAATCTGAACGAGAAGTCAATTCCTTAGCTGCTAAAGTAAGTGCTTTTATGGTATCTGAAATACATTTTTCATATCCTGTTATGTTTTTCTGTTTATATATTCCATTAAGAATAAAGTAACAATGTCTTCTGCTGTGACTTAATATAGGTTAGGAATTTTTTTCCCAGTTTCAGTTGGAAGATATAGAATATGTGACTTTACAGGAAAACTGTCATCTCTAAAAGTATCCCTAAAGATTGAGGTTATGTTTTTTTTAATTTCATTTGCTAGATCTTTTTTCTAAATAGAACATGGCTCCAAGAAGTGTCTTTATATTCCTGTTCTTATCACCCATGAAAATAGGTAGCCTTACTCGATGGAAGCAAGCGTTACTTTTTCATGAAATGTGGCAAGTTCAATAGAGCTTTAAATTGATATCTTTTCCCCTGTGTTTGAAAGTGGAGCTATGGCTTCTGGAGATGTTAAAACACATCCTCTGAATGGGCTGTGTTAGCTACAGGAGGCGAGCTGCACTGGAATCACCTGTGGAGACATAGGTTGTATTAGAAGCAGGATAGTCACATTAGCATGGCGCTTTTCTCGGGCTAATGCTCACAAGAGCTTGGACAGAGAGGCTTCTGTACAGCACTGCATCCTGTCCTTTGAAGTAGATCATTGTCTTACAAGGTGTTTGAGCATCTCAGTTGTTGGCACCAGATCTTAGAGGTTTTGTTCTAGGTTTGAATGTCTTCTAAATTTTTTTTTTTGAGATCTTAGAGAAATTTCTAGATAAATACTTAAAAAAAAATCACAAGGCTTCTAGTTTAGGGAAAACCTTAAAGTGCTGAAGAAACATGATATTACTGTTTAGTATTTCAGCATAATTAGATTAGTATAGATGCCAGATTCAGAGTTTTATCTGGTTGCAGTGACTCCTCAGCTACACAGCATAAAAAAGACAGACCCTTTATGCAATTTCATGTCTGATTATTTGAATAAACGAGACGAATTGGAAGACTAGTGTTGTGGTTTAACTCCAGCCAGCAAAGTACCACGAAGCCTCAGCAGTGAGTCAGAGCCTGAGAGCCAGAGCCCGAGAGTGAGTGCAGGAGTGTCTGAGTGAACCCTATCAGTGACAGCACGACTGGGAAAGCCAACCCACCCACCAGCTCACTAACGAATGAGCAGACACAGGAGTTAGCAGAGCAGCAAAAAGAGAGTTAAAGAGCGTAATGGCCTCCGAGCCCGCTCCCCGCTTACGTACCGAGCAAGGTTATTATGGAATGAAAATACGCCTTGGGTCAGTTTGGGTCAGCTGCCTGGGCTGTGTGTCCCCCCACACTGCCTGTAGCGAGAGAGAGTTGGGAATGCAGCTGCAGTGTCAGAAGCTGGGGAAGGCCTTGCATTGGTACAAGCACCCCCCAGCACCAGCTAAAAAGGTACCTTATCAGTCATTTTCTCAGGGTAAATCCAGAAACCCAGCTTCATACCAGCCACTGTGAAGAGATTTACCTCTTTCCTGACTAAACCCAGCACAAGTAGTCAACGGGTTTACCTTCAAATGTTGCAGAACCATTACCTTGCTTTATGTAAATTTGAGTCAGGATACTAATCCTAATGAAATAGTTACTTGGGCCAGTTCCAGGTAGCAAATTTAATCCCCTGTTTTTTTACCATTCTGGAGAGGCTGTAATTAGTTCTGAGCTAACTGTAAAGCCAGTAACTTTGGTCTTGAAGATCTAGCTGACTGCAGAATTATTTTAAGGTCTCTGTTATCTTAAAGTGATGCTGTGTTTCTGAATATGCTTCCCAAGTAACACTGATGTGTGCTTTGTATGGCGGTGGCAGTTAATATTGTCATAATTTGCCTCAAGAGAGATATAACACAGGAAGAAAACTTTAACTTCTCCCATGGCTGTTCGTTAACTGTCTCAGATTTCATTCAGAAGAGGCTTTACAGTGCGCATTTATGAGTGGGAAGTATTTCATTTTGGTCCCTAATCCAAAAAAGCTCGCATTTACCTTAAGAATAGGGTATGCCTATACCATATTTAAAACCTCTCTATACAGTGGGTCATACTTGTCTCACATGAACAATAAATAGGAGGGGGAAACTCCTGTCCAGCATTTTTAATCAGTTGTCTCTTGGAATATATAGAAGATTGTTACGGTCTCTGCTCTTTGTATCAGCTGGTGTTCTCTGCTCACCTCCAGAAGCAGGACAAAATTCAAGTGGGCAGTGCTGTTTCTTGAAGGGAAGAGAATGGAAACTAATTTCTTTACTAACCTCCACCCCTTTCTGCACCCACTCAGACTTATTTCTGAGCGCAGGTGCGCGCATTTGTCTTCCGGATTTTGTGCCTTAAAAAAGCCACCTTAAATCTTTGCAAGTTGCCCTTAAATGTTCTCAACATAGTATTTAAGCAACCAAATCCACCGTGTAGTTACTTAATAAGCTGCTATGTCATTCTTAACCTTTTGCCACTCGTATGTGCTAGCAGGTTGTAATTACATTTGTCATTGTGAATGGATTTTCATTATAAGTGCTTTCCTCTAGATATTTAATTCTCATTGACCGTGTAATTACTGCGTACAAATGCCTAAACTATAGAAAGTTTCCGTGCAAGCAGTAATTGTCTTGGAGTCGATGTTCTTAAAGCTCCTGCTTTTGTGAGGCCATTTGATGTGTGTGTCTCAGTTGTAGAGAAGTACGTGATTTAAAATGCACTTTGAAACTATGAAGACTTGGATTTTTGAGATAGTAGTGTAGCACTGCAGGAGGTCTGGGGGACTAAAAGTAGTTACCAAACTGAAAGTACTTGGGGGAGCAATTGCTAATCTGGTTTTACATATCACTGTTTTGATTTACTTAGGGAGATTATTTCAGCTTGACTCTGAGGGATCTTTAGTCAGCAGTGAACTATGTGTAAACTGACATGCTAATGCTTGGGTTAGTGAGGCATCAGCATCTTACATGGTTTGGATCGGTGTCACAGCAAGATATTTCCAATGAGTAGCCTTTTCAGAAGCACCCCGATATTTGTAGGCTAGCTTGGAGAACGTATAGTACTCAGACACCAAGTTTTTACAGCCAATCCTGTGGATCTGTGCACCTATCACCGAGGCTTCTTAAAAAATTAACTTTTCTACACTGTAGCTTGTAATAACTTCAGGTTGTCAGGCATTGGAATGGGCTGCCCAGGGAAGTCACCATTCCTGGAGGTATGCAAGATGTGTGGACGTGGTGCTCAGGGCCACGGTTTAGTGGTGGCATGAGCAGTGTTAGATTAACGGTTGGACTCGATGGTCTTAAAGGTCTTTCCCTGCCTACACGATTCTGTGGTTCTGACTTGGTCCGGCCAGACGGAAATTAACGGTGGGACTCGATGGTCTTAAAGGTCTTTCCCTGCCTACACGATTCTGTGGTTCTGACTGGCTCGTGAAAGATGAAGTACATTTTAATAGTCAGACAGTTGGGTTCCTGGAATAGATGTTATGTTTGAGCACTTTATTTTTTCACTCAGGGAGTATATGAAACTTGCATTTTAAGATGACTGACAACTCATTCAGTAATCAGCAGGTGATGAGGAATTGATCAAATCCTGTAATAGCACTGATCATGATTGGGGGAATCGGATCACGTCAATAGCTTTTGTGTTACAGTAGCTATATAATGACCATCAAAAATTACCTACAAGAGTGGATATTCTAGATATTCCGGATTGTCTTTCCTGAAAGCAGTGGATGAAAAAAATATTTCAGGTATCTTTAACATAAGATTAGGCCACAATTATTTGGCGGATTTTCTTGTTAGCAAAGTGTCACACAAAAACCTTGCAGTGAAGCTGTGCATATGTGTATTTATTTTAGTTGATTTTTTTTTTTCCCCTCCTAATTCACAGGTAGAAGAACTTAAACATTCACATAAATTGGAAGTAACAAATGTCAAACTGGAGGCAGCGAGAACAAAGAGTGAGGTAGAAAGAGAAAGAAACAAGATTCAAAGTGAAATGGATGGTAAAATGTGCCATTAATTTCTATGATTTCTTTTGGAACTTTTAGTTGGAATGACTAAAATTCTTTTTCCTCCAAACGTTCCCCAGCTGCCTTCACCTTCTAATTCTGGTCTAGGTCATGGATCTGAAAATTCATTTTTGTGTCTGAAGTCACTGCGTTGTTTCACATGGTCTGCTAGGTCAAGAAGAACAGCTGCAGAACAATGTTGTGTTTATGGAAATTAGTGAATTTGTGTCGCAGTTTGAGCATAATCTGGTTTAAATCTTGTAATTCATGGGGTTATTTTTTTCTGTTATCGCCAAATTCTAGGGTCTTTCACACTCTGCTTGAAACCTGGTACCGTAGGGATTCAGTGGTGGTTTTGTTTCCTGACTCTGTGTCCAAGGGATTGTTAGCACCTGGGTAAGGCTGCCGTGTGAAACAAAACACAATTTATGGCTCATTCTTTGAAGAAAACAGGTGATGGTCTAAGCTACCTAATGCAGCTGATCCGGTAGGCAACCTGAAGTAGCCTTCCTGAGTGAAAAGGCCAAAGCTTCCCAGTACTAGTGACATGCTCATGATTTAGATCACTGCTCTGGACTGTCCTCACTGATTTGCCATCACCTCAAAACAGTACCTTCACCTTCCCGGGAGAGTTGTTTCTGTTACTTCTGAGAGCAACTGAAAAGTGGCGATTACTGAGAACTGAAAATGTCAGACCCTATGAACTAGGAAGCTGTACGGATGAGGTTGAAGCTAACCTGAACTTGCTGTGGAATCCAGTTTGCAGCACTGAATTGGCTGGATAAGTGGGAGTTGTTGCTGTAGCGTGGTGGCTTGTGTGCCACTGTCTTGGTGACACGTTTTTCATTTGCATCTGCTGTTCCTGCGCATTGAGCCCCAATTTTAGAATTGCCTCATTTGGCAATCTGAGTGGCTTGAGTTGGGAGATGTGTTGTAGCCAGGTTACCGTGGTTTCACTGGAAACCCGTTACTGTTTACCAGAAATTTTTCCATAGAAAGAAAATACATTTTCTTGTTTGATCTTTCATGGAACACTTTTTTCTTTTTAATCCAGACAAAACTGCTTGGAAAAATTGCTTTGGAGTTTAAATCTGTAATAACATCAACTGTTTAATTATTTTTGTATATAAAAATAATAAGTCTTCATAACAGGCATTCCAGTGTAATGGTTCCTCTTCAAAAGCTCTTGAAGTGTTCCTGTTATACTGAGAAAGGCCATGTCTCTTCTGGTTTTCTTTAGGGTTTTTATTTCTGTTCAGTCATTCATTGCATTGTAAATTGTGATTTTTAGCTCCCCTTTCTTAATTTATAATGTTATTTTAATACTGGATTTCATCAGGTTGATACCAATAATGACATCTTAACCTTTTTTTTTTTTAATGTATAATGCAGGATTGCTGTCAGACAAGGAAATTCTTAAGGCAGCTGTTGAACGTCATAAGGTGCTTTTAGTAGAAAAGGAACGGGAGCTAATTCGTAAAGTGCAGGCTGCCAAAGAGGAAGTTTTTGAAAAAATTGCAACCTTGCAGGATGAAAAGTATGTTTGTTGGTTTACTACTCAACTTCTGAAAGAGGAGTGTTTTGAGTAACTTTAAAAAATGTCATTCTTAGCAACTGAACGCTCGCGGCATTTTGTCATGATTCTTGTGCACATGCTGAATATGTCTCAGGTTAGAACTCGAGAACAGATTAGCTGATCTAGAGAAGATGAAACTGGAACAAGATACTTGGAGACAATCTGAAAAGGATCAGTATGAAGAGAAACTGCGTGCTGTTCAGATGGCAGAAGAATCTAGCAAAAAGGAACTTCAGCGTTTGCGGTAGTGTGGCTTTTCTAACCTCAGTGCATATTTATCTTCACCACCCCCTCCTCCCCCCCCAATTTCTTTACAGTAGTCAGTATAAAAGTTTACTATTCAGAGATGCACAAGTGTTGATTATGGTAAATTAAATATAACTGCCTTTTGCATTGTGTAAAAAGAGGGCAGAATTGAAAAAATGCTGTTTAAAGAAAAAATTCTTGAGATCTTTAAAAATTATATGATGTTAATGAACATCTTTGAGACATAATGTTGCAATTCCCGTGTTTGTTAAAACTGAGCCCATGCTGGCTGCTGGCACAGCCCCAGCATCAGAGGAAAGCATTTCTCTGTCCGCGGTGGTGCTGTATCAGCAGCTGGCGGAGTGGCACGCTCACGCGGTCTCTCTTTGAGCTGGCGGTTACAGTTCTCAGCGCGTTGGCTTTACTCTAGTGTTTGTATGAGGGTCAGTGTGCTAGAATTAGCAAAGGCCACACTCCAAAAGCAAACAAATCAACGTATTTTTAACTCCTGTAGGAATTCTAATAATCAGTAAGAAAGTATTTTAAATCATTGTTCAGTTGAGTATTTATCGGCCTTTCCAATCACGCAACGTATCCTACTGTCAGACCGATTTGTCCTAACTTCTAGCATTTATATTTTAATTAGCTAAAAATAAGGATGTCTTATACAATTTTAGGTTAAAAATTCAACAGCAAGCTATTCAGTCAGAGGAGTTGGAAGAAAAGAAACGTGAAAGTGCTGATCTTAAACAGGTAAGGTGTTATTCCATGGTAACATTCCGTGCGGGGATACAGTCTTCCCCACAGTTGCCGTGTCCGGTGTTCGATGACGAGATTGAAGTTTTAAGGCATTCTTCTCCCCGAGGGACAAGATGCATCCAGCGGGTATTTCAGGCGGAAAGCGCTCAGAGATCAGGCATGCTTTCCTGGGCCTCTGCAGATGGGTTGCAGCTCTTTGCTTCGTGCGTTTCGTCGGTACCAAGGGTTCCAAAGCTGAACATTTATGGAGTGGTATATTGAATACGGTTATGCACCGTTTAACTGGAGATTCCGTTTCCATGGAGACTTCTAAATTGTTTCTAGGTAATGCTTTGCATTTACACTGCGTCTCTCGTCTGAGGTTCTTCAAGTGCTTAACGGATGTCTCATAAATGAATAAACTAGCGTGAAGAGGTGTATTTCTGTTGCAGAGCGAACTGACGGCAGTGTTGAAAATATAAACCTAAGTCCTTTAACTCCTGCTCGCTTACTTAGTAGGTAATGCAGCCAGTGTGCACCTAAGTTCAAGGCAATATTTGGTTTTCCTCCAGAAGTCAGAAGCTGGGGTATCCGAGTGTGCATGTGGAGAGAGGAGAAGGGAAGGGAAATCGTCCCTTCTACCTGCTGGTTGCGGAGGTTGGAGTTTTCAGGCTCCAGACTGACTAGCTCATGAGAGCTGGTTGGCAGAGCCGCTTCGGGCCGTAACAACGCGCTGTGCGTCAGGAGGAAGAGGCGTCCGGCTGGCTCCGCAGCTCAGCTACTAAATGTCGCGTGGTGCTCTAGTTCTGTGCAGCCCTGGGGGCCTTCATGCCCCCTTTCTTAAGGTCTGGGGGACACACCTGCAGCTGAAGACTCCTGCCTCCCTTTCTCATTTTAATGACAGTGGAAAACCTTCCTTGTCTAGCAGTGATTTCCTGTAAAGCTTCTGGAGAAGCTGTTGGGGAAGGAGCAAAGGAGCAGATAAAGAAGGTTTATGAAAAGCTAACGCAGCCAGCTGGTGTCTGCGCTTGCTCTGTCTTAGTATCCCAGGGCTGGTTTCGTTATGTGCATACCTTCTCAAATGGAACTGTTTCATTTCTTCCTAGCAAGTGCATGACATGCAACTCCAGCTTGCCTCGCTTTCGCAGTCGGAAAATGAGTTACTGGAGTCTAATCAGAAGCTGAAGGAAATAGTAGAAAGATTGAAACAAGAGTGTCAGCATGCAAGGACTCAGGCAGAAAAAGCGCAACTGGAAGCAGAGAAGTAATTTTTTTTCTTCCTTTTGGCTTTCCTTTTCATATTGTCTGTATTCCTTTCATGTGGATTGCTTCCTGTGGATTCTAGATTCTGGATAAAATCTGAAATTAAAAGTGAACAGAGAATACTGGACAGCTGTAAAAACGCTGGTACCTTCCATCATGCAGTAAGTGCAAAAGCTTTGCTTGTGGTAGCTTCAAAACCAGGAACTTGCTTCCATTCGTGCCTGTCACAGTTAATTCTCGATGGGTGAAAGTACACTAGTTTTACAAAATTAGGTCCTGTTTATATTGAAGTGAATGTCAGACTTGGATTAGGTAAAGTGGATCCAGAGTTTCACACACAGTTCTTGTAAGAGTGTTTCAGCATTAAGGGTGAAAAAAGTGTTTAAGCGTTGTACTGCGCATCGATAAGACTTCAGGAACTCGGTCTGTTTGTGTGTGTATACCTTTTTTCCCCCCTCTCCACTAGATCCTTTTAGCAGATGTGGGGCAAATGACAGCTTATTGGATATTTTCTAATTGCTCTCATCAAAATTAAAAATAATCACTTTCCTTCTCTGCACGAGCTTGCCCACATACAATCAAAATACGCTAATAAACGGTGAAGGAAACCAACTCTTGTTCAGGGCCCATACAGGAATAAACACTTTCCTGGAATTTAAAGGTTAATTTGTCAGTCAGTCTGAAATGACTGTTTAGTATTTCCCAGACTAATAACCAAAACCAAGTCTAATTTGTACCGGATTATTGTGTGGTGGGTCTTTTAAAAAGTCAGCATCCTTGATTAAATAGAACACGTCCCAGAGGTATAATGTGGTATTTTTGTGTTTTAACCCCTCTTGCTACAAACTGGTACCACAATTGCTGCCGTGTCAGTAGTTTAAGTATTGCTTTTCAGTTTAACATTTGAAGAAATCACTGCTTTAGGACTGCAGAGCACGTTCAGTTGTCAGTAGCACATTAAATACTTCGGATGTTTACTTTAGGAAGGTGCATTCCTGTTTTGAGTGAGATTGTCACTGTTGTTGGGGTGAGACTGTGAATGTCAGTTACATATTTATGGCCTGTAGACCAGTCAGGAAGGGGTTTTCCTGGGAAGGCAGCGGAGGGAACTTGGCAGTGCTCCGAGATCCTTGTGTAAGAGTGTAGATAACGGGGGCTGCACCAAGGCTGATACTGCAGAAGTTAAGCAGCTTTGCAGCCTGCAGGCTCTGTCCTCCTGTTACCCTGCGAGCCCTGGGACGTGGTGCCGTTCCTTTTCTGACTCTCGGTGATGGGACTTCCTTCCTCAGTTCCGAGCTTGAGCTCCAAGAGTTAAGTTGCACCAAAGCAACTCAGCTTAAAGAGGAAATGAGATAAGGACCGAAAGCTAGGAAAGCCTAAGATCGAAAGTTTCAGATGAGTAGAATAATGCCAGTTGAGCCGTAAGTAGGCAAGGCAGCTGCCTGCCTGCATGTGTCGATCTCGGGCTTGGATGCGGGAATGTGAAGTGAGAAAAAGGGCTGAAGGCAAACTGCGAGGCTGATACGGATCAGGGATAAGCTTAGATAGGCACTTGTTAAGCATTTCAGGAACAGCATTATTGGCCTTTTTAACCGTTGTCTCAGCTGAAATTCAGTGCTTTTCGAGAAAGCCTTTTGGTTTCTGGGTAGCAGGTTGTTATTTACAGTCCACAGCAAGGTACGAGTGATGCTGAGGCTGCTGAAAGAGCTGTGATGGTGCCAAGGTAGCCAGGATCCTGGTGCTGATTTGGGAGTGGATGATGCCTAACACTTGTACTGTGGGGAAGGGAAAGGGTGTTTGGAGAGAGGTTTATAGAGATTCAGTGAGAGTCCCTGTAGGGACACCGCATCAGCCCAGAGCTATGGATGCGCCTATACCAAGCCTAGGACTGTATTTCTTCAGAGCTGCTGCATAGACCCTCACCGTTTGATGTTTCACAGTAACGTAGTTCAGTGTGCCGTTCGTTCCTGCCGACTCGGATTGGCAGTGCAGGGAGCCTAAACAATCAAGGCAGCAGAGAGAAACTGGCTGCTTTCCTACCCACTGCTAGAGAACACAGCCTAAATTCGGTGTATTTTGGCCATGCCGAGGCGTAAACAGGTAACATACGTTGGTGGTGGTGTGTGTTCAGCTGGAGTGTTGACTAGGACCCATGTCGGTGAGAGCTTCCTGTTGCATTGGCGTTTGTTCTGGCCGGGAGCGCAGAGTCAGTACTTCTCTGTTACAAAGGCGTCGTGGACCTACCTCCCAGGGCAGCAACCTGTTCTCTTCCACCTCGCCTCCCAAACAGAGAAGGGAATGGCTGGCTCTTCTGACATCTGATGTTTAGCGCTGGGTGTCTACTGTGGTGTTCAGCGGGATTGTTTGCCCAGAATTTAGAAGTGTTGTGACAAGCCAGCGAGCAGCCAACGGTTAACTAACTCCCTGGAATCAGCTTTCAAAATGTGCCTGTAGCTGAACAAGACCTAGGGTGATGTCAGTGCCCAGGTTCAAATGCCGTCGGTCACAACTGGGCTGTTAGCACAGTCAGATGTCGATCAGGTGTGTTAGGGTGGGAGCTGGGAAAAGATGCGGCTGCTTTAGGAGCCTTACGGCATTAACCCAGCGCACTGCTCTGCCAGCGTCACCTCTTCGGCTTTTAACCCGCTTTTTTCGAAGGACTTCGGAGCGCAGGCACATCGAGTGGCTGGAGGAGAAGCACGTGCTTACTCAGCGCATCACCGAGAAAGAGGAGAAATACAACCAAGTGAAGAACAAGCTGTGTCGAGCTGCTGTGGCTCAGAAAAAGGCATGTGGACTCTTCCTTTGCGAATGAGCCGGCTGATGAGAAGTTCAGCTTTGCTTTGGCCAGCTAGAGTTGTTTCCATATTAAGAGTTTATTTCAGACTGCTGTATACAACAACAAATTGCACCAGGCTCTTCGAGATTAGCACAGAATTAGGTTGAGGTGATAATGCAAAAGAATATTACAGCCAGCAGCGGTGGTATGAAGCCATCAAAGCCTCCGTGAGGCTTTTTTGCATATGTGTGTGTGGCTGTTTAAGAGGCGGGCTCCTTGATTGGTAAGGGTGGTGTTTCGAGTGCTAGACAAATGGTGTTCTTTCTTTTTTGTCCCTTTTCTGCTTATTTACACATGGTCATTTAAAGAATGAGCTCTGTAACTCCCAAATAGGGTGGGTGTTTGTTAGTACAGTGTGTGACTGCCGGCTGTGCATCTTCCAGTCGCGGCTATGGCTGCTTCCCGTATCTTCTGATTCCCATCGTGGGGATTCAGAACCTTCAGCAGCACAGCACCACTCCTTAAGGAAGGAAGGTCCTAGAAACTGTCACAGCTTGAAACCACGTTCAGTGTAGATTGAGTTGTTACAGGATCTGATCCACCGAAGCACCACTTACCTGTTTGCAATGTCTGCCTGACAGAGGAAGACCCTCAATGACAACAAGCACAGGAGGATGCAAGAGAAACTTGAACTTCTGGAAGCCAAGATAGAAGAACTGGAGAAAGAAAACCAGGTGTTAAACAGGTAACAAACTCTGCATTTTCTTAGCTCGAAAAATGCTATGTGCCCAGGATCTGAATACTTTGAAGACCCATGACCCTCAGTGACTGGGGTCCAGTCTAACAGCATTTTCAGCGCTGGGATCCTTTGAACGGGGTCTGTTTTGGATGGGCAGCCACGAGCTGCTGACAACTGCAGGGTTGTCTCTTCAGGAAGAAGTAGAGGAAAAACATTGGATAGATGGAGTTGCAGGATGGCCTTCTGAAGAGGGAAGCGAAGCAGACTTCGGAACTGCAGGAGAAACGGCCTTAGCATCCTCTTTGAAAGACAAGCTCCGATTTTCTTCTCTTTGTTGAGCGCCTGTGGAGGGCTTGATTCACGTAATTAATTTAATGTGGCTCCTGTGGCTCACGGCTGTGAGTGCTGTTAAAAGCTAAACCCTGTACATTCTGATGTGCAGTACAGCAGGTCACTCACTCTGCAGGGGGGCTTCTCGCTAGGCAGTTAGGCAGAAGAATACACAGGTCTTCCACCCTCCGGTTCTTCTGGCATGTGGTTTTCCTTCAGGGGGGTAGTAAACGTGTACTCGTGGGGAGGTGTGCTTCTGTGCTGGGATAATCAAGAGATTTCTTATTGCTCAAAATCTTTATTTCTCAGGCAGAATGTTTCCTATGAAGAACACGCACGCCTCCAGAAGAGACTAAAGGACTTGCAACGCAGGCACAATGAATTCCGGAGTTTGATTCTGAACCCTAACATGCCGCCACTCAATCCACTCGGCGTAATGTCGTCATCTGCCTTGCCTCCCGCGCCCGAAGTGTCCTTCTCCCTCCTTCAGGTGGTGACGTAGCACGAGTTGTGAAAATAGCGCCACAACAGAGGGTACTGGAAGGGTCCTTCATTGCAGAGCTTAGTCTTACGGGAGGAGTACCTGGTCCTTCAACAGAGGAATAAAACCTTGAGGAATGCTTCTAGTGATGTCCCTTCCTTGCAACGGGAGGGAGTTCTGGGAGGACGAGCGATACGGGACAGAATGTAGCAAGCGTGCAATTTTAACCCAGTTCTCTGTACTTTGTCCTTCTCCTGAGAGGCTTTAAATGGCTCCTTGTAGGCAAGAAATCCCATAGGGGTGTTCTCACACCATGGTTTCCTTATTATGGGCCTACAAGGAAGCTGGGGGTGACTTTTTACAAGGGCCTGTAGTGACAGAACAAGAGGTAATGTGTTTAAATTGAAAGTGGGGAGGTTTAGATTAGATATCAGGATGAAATTCTTCATGGAGAGGGTGGTGAGGCACTGGAACAGGTTGCCCAGAGAAGCTGTGGATGCCCCATCCCTGGGAGTGTTCAAGGCCAGGCTGGATGAGGCTTTGAGCAACGTGGTCTAGTGGAAGGTGTCCCTGCCCATGGCAGAGGGTTGGAACTAGATGGTCTTTAAGGTCCCTTCCAACCCAAACCATTCTGTGATTCTGCGATTACTAAACTCAGTATTGCTGCTCTGGGTTTCTTGTGTGGTTGAAGAGAGTTCTGCTCACCCCGGTGAGCTGCTGAGGGTGAAAATCTCTCCAGCTGGGGTTGACTGGGCTGACTTTGCACGTTCTTGGCAACAGAGCTCAGGTCCGCATGCCTCTTCATCTGAGAGGAGGAACTGCATGCGTACTGCTGACGCTGCTCGGCATCAGCATTAGAACAACACCCACAAAACACTGAGGAGTAAACGTGAACGAGTAAGGATATCGTGGACTTCACCATTTGTGTTTTAAAATCATTAGGTAAAGAAAACATGGGTCCCTTGTAGGGGTGCAAAGTGTAATGGAGCCGCTTTTTTCTTTTTGATTTCAAGGAGGAGCAGCACCAGAGAGAGCTTTCCCTGCTTCGCAAGCGGTTGGAAGAGCTGGAAACCACGCAGAGAAAACAGCTGCAGGATCTCGGACCGTCTAGAGAGCGAGTACCAGGGGGCGTGCACAGGGACTTGGCTAGGAACGGTGTCGCCAGGGAGGGCGACCCACAAAGCGAGGGCTCCGAGTAAAACCTGCACACCCTACGTGCTGCTGGTTCCCGGTGGCTCATCCTTCGCACGTGCCCCTAGGGTTTTGCCAAAAACATGCCTGTGTGCGTGCCTGGGTAGCGTAACACACAGCCTGCGTAGTTTGGTGTTTAGTTTTGATAGACTGTCAGAAATTACTGATTGTAAGAGTTGGAAGAACCTGAACAGGAAGAAGCAATAATTGGCACTGTATTAAAACATACAGTGCCGTAGAGGTGAAGTGTACCAAGTTGCCTTCACGTTATGGAAACGTAAGTTTGTATTTGTTGCTACTGTCATTTGTTTACCTGCATTCCATCTTGAATAAATCACTCCGTTGCAGTTAGTTATTCGAAATGTATTTTTTCCTTCACGATCAGTTTAGTTAACAGGAACTTGTAAAGGATCAATTCATTCTTTTGACTTGATGGTGAAAACTTTCCCGGAAGTGTAGAAATTTGTTTGGTTTTTGCTTTATTTCCAAGAAAACAAGCCAGAGTGGCGGGCCGTGGGATTTCTTTAGTAGCTGTTGGGTACTGTCGTTAGTCTGTAGGAACGGGCAGCTGAGCAGCCGCGTTCCATGTGCTGCCGCTGTCACCCAGTCTGCTTTTCTCCCCAGAGGCTGCATTTCCGTACCGTGCGTGAGCGTAAGGCTTGTTCCGCGCTTGCTGCGGGGATTTGCGGACTCCTCTGAGGAAAACAGCATAGCCGTTGGACGTCGGAGGAGCTGTGCCTACTGTCTCCTGGAGGACTGAGCCAGAAAAAGTGACTGTGCCTGAGCCCGCTCTGCCAGGTGCGATGTTGGCCAACGTTCCGTAGCACAGAAGGGGTGTGAAGAGCTGCCCGCAGCCTCCGCTCTGGGTACGTGTCGCAGCGAGGGTCTTCATCGGGTGTGGGGCAGGAGGGTGCTTTGTACGAGCCTGGGAAGCCCTGGAGCGCAGAGAAAGGGCAGGTGGAAGGGTGATGGTGACAGACGAAGGTGCTGGTTCCTGGGCTCCCTGTCACACTCTGCCGTGGGCTCTTTGCGGGAGAGTTACTTTCTGGGCCCGGCAGCACCCACTCCTCAAAGGAGGGTTATCTGGTTATCCTTGGTGTTCACATTTTCAGCTGCTGGAAAGTGGCACCAGCCTCGGAGCCGT